AAACAGAACCACGTGATAATCTTAAATCGAAGGGTTTTGGTATCCAAGTAACGAATTTCCAAATTTGGTAGTTTATTAGTACAGTACCACGTGATCAATTTTTGAGATAATCAGTTTATTTGTTCTATGATTGACGAAGATGGCAGAAGGAGTTCAGAATCATAATAACGAATTGGAATCAAACGCCGTTTTTCAGCAAGCCTATGACGAGGATGATTTTCAGTAATCCCTGTTCAGTGTTGAGATTCTGCTAGGCTAGATATTTGGACTGACGCCATCGCAGAATCCATGGACGACCATTAATAATTCACGTCTGGAAATTAAGTCCCAACTTCGGTCGACTATAGCAAGAATTATTCACCTAGACCACACTGCCGTTCGCTTCAATTAGGTTATTTAGTTGTTTTTTTTTTACTCTTTGTCACTATTACTTCTACGTAGCTTACCGTTTAGGCATGTAAATCCCAACATAAAAATATTCACTGAAATCTGAGTTCGAAATATGGCTCCCGTGACGAAATTGTTGGGATTTACATGCCTAAACGGTAAGCTATGTAGAAATAATAGAGGCAGAGAGTCAAATAAACACTTAAATGACTTAATTGAAGCGAACGGCAGTGTGGTCTAGGTGAATAATTCTTGCTATTGTCGACCGAAGTTGGGACTTTAGGTCTCGCACAAGGAAATAATTTCATTATATATTACTATAATATAGCTTGAATTAAATTATTTAATTTATTAGACTCTCCGCAGAAAATTCATGAAAGAGAAAATAGAGATTAATGCTGTAACAAAATTTTGAGTAAAAAAAAAATATGCCTTATGCGGCTTTTAAGAAATAAAATCGACAGTAAACATACCTACCCCGAAATGCACGTGGGATTCACATGTTGACAAACAGCCTACACACCATCCAGGAAGTTGCATGATGTGCACCTGAAAAAAAAGTTCCTTTTAATTCAGTGGGATAATTCTGCTAAAGAAATGATATTCCTAGTACATGAGTCCAATTTTAATACTGTAGGCCTAAAACACAATTGCCAAAAATGAAAAAAGAAAAAAAATTGTCTCTATATATATATATGGAACTTCAATTGACTAAGTTCATTTTGATTGGCTATTTCCTTGCGTAAGACCTTAATTTCCAGACGTGAATTATTAGTGGTCGTCCAGGGATTCTGCGACGGCGTCAGTCCAAATATCTAGCCTAGCAGAATCTCAACAGGGATTAGATTTTCAGTTGAGTCAGGCTGTTCAGATGTACAAACTAAGTCAATCTGATTTAAATGACCAGGACTTTGGGAATTTTGATATTCAGGATTGGTGTTTAGAAGCGTTTCCAGAATTAAAACAGGAAAATTTTACTAAATGGTCTGAAAATACTACTACTAGATTCGAAAAGCCCGTCTCCGCGACTGAGATAAGTGCACTGAAAAAAAATCAAGAAAGTAAAAACACGCGCCGCAATACTTCATGGGCAGTTAAAGTGTTCAACGACTGGAAATCTCAGCGTAACCAACAACAACCTGGCGATTTTAAAATCATTCCCGAAATCCTCAGAAGTACATACCAAGAACTTGCGTATACTTTATCATGTTTTGTGATTGAAACCAGGCGTGCAGATGATTCCCCCTACCCCCCGAGAACTTTATATCAAATTGGTTCCGGGATTCTTCGGTACATGCGAGAGGAAGGTGTTCATGATATGAACTTTTTAGATGTCAAAGATGCCCGTTTCCATGACTTCAGGAAAACTCTAGACGCGCGAATGAAGGAGCTAGCATCCCAAGGAATAGGAGTGTCTATAACGCAAGCGGATCCGTTAACACCGGAACAAGAAGACGTCCTGTGGGAGAAAAAATTACTGGGAGCGCATACTTCAAAAAGTTACATCAACACTGAATTTCTAACATTTGTGCTTTGATTAAAACTATTTTCTGCTCCAGAAGAGCGGAATATTTTCAATATTTTAGAAATGTCATAAGTTGTGTAAAAGTTGCAATGTTTTGTGCTTTTTTCTTGTTTTATTCAGTTCATTAAAGTTTAGAAACGAATTTTTGTCTTATTTGCATAGCTCCTCCTACATCCAGGGTCTAACAGTTGGATATCACTAGCTTTATATCACATATGTGATATTTAATATACCACCACACTTATGTTGATATGAGATATACACCCTTGTTAAGATCAAAGGAAAATCTGTCAGTCATGGGATAAAGAATAAATATGAGTTCAAAACTAGAAGTATTAGGCACACTAAGCTCAATGAATGGCTTAGTGTCGAGAGTTCTCAAAACATTTGCATTATTCTTTATTAGTTCGATAAAATAATTCTTAAAAAATATTTTAAGAACTTGCTTTAAACTAAGTATTAAACGTTGTTAATATATTTCAATTTCGTTATCATTTTTTGTCAGATGATTGATAATTTATGGCTATATAAAAAAGAGGTTACAATAAATACTCCCAAGCCTGGAAGTGTGTAAGATATGAAAAGAAATCGTTATGATCTTCCGGATAATAATGATGTGGTAAAAGTGCATGGTGAAATAAAAAAAGAAAAAAGTTTTCAATTAGTAAAAAATGTTTGAATACACGGTAAATGCTCTACAGCTGCAAATGACACAGATATTTTTTTTTCTATATACCCAGGCTTGCAGCTTATTTCACCTTGAAATATATCTTGACGTGCTTTCCTCCTATGTACACTTTTAAAATTGTGAAAGATTTTTTTTTTTAAATGCTAAATTTTGTTTGAGGCCGAAATGATGCTTTATATCAATTTTACTTTTTATACCAGTATTTGTATTAGGAGATAGACTACGAACTATTGAGTATTAGTATTAGGAAGATAGACTACGAACTATTGAACTCCATACAGCGGATAATTAAAGCTGAGAAACATGCATAAGGAGGAGGGGCAAAGGTGATTTTTAAAAATTTGATTTTTTACTGGGGGTAGGGTTAGCGTCATATATGAGATTCAAAACTGTAACTCATGAATTATCAGTCAAAATTCAATTAGATTTAGGTTATTTGATGACTAAAGTTACAGTTCTTAAATTTTAGTTTACAATTTTTCCCTGTGTTTCTTTTTCCTTTCAGTATTTAAGTTAGCTGCAGATCCTGTAGCGTTATGGTTTTATATATTTGTCTTTGGCCATAACGCTACAGATCCCGTAATGCAAAAAGGTGCAATTTACGGCGCAATATTTTTTGCGCACTTTTGGGGAGAATTTCTTCACCTTCTAGCATTAGTCAATCAACTACCTTTTACTATATACATGTATAGCTAAATAAGTAAGAGACTTTTTAAAGATATTGTTGCAAACATTTTAATAAAATGTCACTTTTTTAATCTACGTGAGACTTGTTGCCCCTCTGAAGTCGGAAAAACCCCAGATGTTGCGATTTGTATTGCAGTCTCATTTTCAATATTATCATTGTGACGTCATAATAATTAAAACGTCACAATCTACTAGCAGTAGTTTGTGGTTACTTGCAAACAAAGAAAGGTATTTCCCCGAGCATATCGGCGATTTTTCTACCCAAAAAGTTTCATAGATTTTATCTGTGAAATATTGGCATCAACTGGAATTTACTTTTTCAAGACAGACAGCATATCAGTATAAAGTAAGTAGCAATACCAACTTTGTTTCAATGAATGTAAAATAAATTTTGCTTTCGGAAAAACAGAAAGCAATTTACATCAGCAAGAGTATCCCACGAGATTTAGATGCCTCTGGGTTTCCAGTATATTTCAAATTCATACTATTCTTCTTTTTAACACTTTCAGAACATGTTCCCCGGATTCTCGTTGATGATAATGGGAGTGTTCGAATTACGGAAATGGTGGGGAAAGAAAAGTTAGTACTTGTACAATGAAGCGCATTGTAGTGGTAAAATTTTCCATTTGGACGAAACGTTCTGAGTCATGTTTTGAACGTCAATTATAACATAACGACACGCCCATTTCTTTAGAAACGAGGAAGGAATATCCGCCGTATAGTTTTAGGACACTACACTTCCCGCGACAAGCAACATGAGTTACATTGAAATTAAGAGTTTTAAATGAGAAAAAGCTATGTAGAGTTCTTGCTTAAGTAAAACACGCATTGCAACGAATTTGTCCATAATTATGATTCTATCATGTCCATTGGAGTAAGCATAGCACATATATCAGTCGAACACGTGCTTACTCTGTGTTTATGTAAACTGTCAATTTCATTGGATGTTATCTTTATGAAAATCGTGTCTAAAGATAGCTCAAAACGTTCCATCCAAGCCGAAAATTTTACCACTTCAATGCGCTTCATTGTACCATTTACCATGGATAGTAGACTACTGTATTATTTTCTCCAAACAATGGAATGTATATCATTTAATGATTTATCCAATTAAATATTTTTCTTGGCGATTGACTTCCGGTGACACCTGTCGCCATGACGTGATTTTTTGAGAAGTGGAGAGTGTAAAGGAAAATTCGCTATAAATCACATGTATGTGGTAAGAAACATGCCAATATGACATTCCTGAGTTAGAGAACTAGTATTTTCTTAATATTAACTTTCTCAGTTTTCGAAAAGCTCTGAAAAACAGTTTCCTTTAACAAGTGTGATCAGCTATTGTGTCTTTAATGAGTGATGTTCACCCTATGAGTCGCCAAATGGAAAGTAAACGCAAAAGATCTGAGACTCTTAATAGTTCTTCTGAAGAACTAAATCCATTAAGAAGACGTTTCAATTCCACATCTCTACCCAATATTACATCAACTGGAATAAATATGTCATCTAATAGTGTCTCAACGCCTAGTCCCATTGTACAAATCAATCCCCTATCCCAGGGCTTTGCTACCTCCTCACCTATTGTTGGTACAGTAGGGACCCCCGATACCTCTGATGATTCTACCTCTATCAATGATTTGCCACCATCATCTGCTATTAATGACATAATTATAAAGACTGTCAGCAGTCAAGCATTTATTGGGTCGCTTGTTCCTCTTATTGCAACAGCTTTAGCACCTCACATCCAAGTCATTATTCAGAGTTGTTTACACTCAATGTCTGAAACCATCAAAACCCAACAAGAAACAATTAAAAAACAAGCCGATGAAATTAAAAGTGTTCAAGAAATAAACTCTGACCTTGAAAAAAGAGTAAACGACTTAGAATGTGGCCTTGATGACCTTGAACAATACGGCCGAAGAACATGCCTACGCTTCCATAATGTCAACATTACAAATGAACAGGCCCAGAACACTGATGATGTTGTAATTGATATTTGTAAAACAATGGGTGTCAACATTGTACCTGACGACATCAACAGGTCTCATCCCATCGGCCGCCCTAACTCCAACAATCTTAGGCAAGTAATCTGCAGGTTTCGCAGCTGGAAAATCAAAAACAAAATCTACAGCGCGAAGAAAAACCTAAAGGATAATCCGCAAAATCCCAGCAAAACATTTGTCACTGAAGATTTAACAAAGTACAGACAACTTGTGGTTAAAAAAATTATAGAAGCAAAAAAGGCAAACAAACTGCACAGTTTCTGGACATATGACGGTAGAATCTATATTAAAACCGAAAAAGAAGGCGACAGAATCCAAATAACATCGCTGGATGATTTGTATGAACTAATCGAATAAATGCATCAAACATGTGCCTTTAAATAGTAGATCTGTGTCACACGGTGAAAGTGAGTTCTACATTTAAAACGTTATAGACATGTTTTAAACATGATAATATATATTTTCCACACTCTCCAATACCTGTTTATTGTTTTGTTCTCAGAACAATGCTGTTATACAAGCTTTGTTTATTTACAATCATTGTCAGTCTTGTTTATATGTTTGCTTTGACTGACTTGCAAGTACTTGTTCTTGTAACAAGCTTTAGTTCATTATTTTCTGTTTACTGTTTGTTTTTTATTATGATTACATCTGCAATGGGTTTCAGTTTTTCTAGACAATTTCAAGATCTTTGCAATATTCAACTTTGCTGTTCTTTGCGGCTTTATTTTCCTATTTTTTACCAACCCAAAACATTAGTTATTACCGATCATGGGTAATACTCTTGAACAATATCGAGCCGCAATTGGAATTTTTTACCTTCGAAATAGATGCACATTCAAATCCATGAATTACTGTTTTTTCAGATTGGTATATTTAGTTTGGCTTTTGTGGAAAGCTTACCTATTTTGTAAACAAAAATTCAAAGTTTGTAAGAAACATGCAGTATATTTTCAGCATGTCAATTTTCTTTTTCAACTTATGAGTATATTATTAATGCTGTCTGGTGATATTGAATCAAATCCTGGGCCTACAGATAACTCTTTCCATACTTTAGATATTTTTCATATAAACATAAGAAGTATAAGAAACAAAATTGAAAATTTAATATCATTTGTCAGTGATTATCATATTTTGTGTTTTACTGAAACACATTTAGATGCAAATATTGATGATAATGCTATTTCGATTGAGGGGTTTTCTACAATTTTTCGCAAAGATCGTAACTCATATGGAGGTGGTACCCTGATTTATGTATCCGATTCACTTCGAGCTATAAGACGCACTGACCTTGAACCTTTGAATACGGAATGTATATGGATAGAAGTTAGCGACCCTATAAGTAATATTTACCTTTGCTGTCTATATCGGCCTCCGAATTCTGATAAATCCTTCTGGAAAAACGTAATGTGGTCCATTGAAAAAGTTTCTGATATATCCAATAAGATAATTATCCTTGGAGACGTAAATGTAGATTTTTTAGATATTCCACGCACTCATATTGTTAACGAAATTTTGTCTCAGTATAGTCTTAGCAATATTGTCAATGAAGCAACGAGAGTCACGAGTAGATCGAGCACGCTTATTGACCCAATTCTGGTTAGCTCAGACATCAAGGTGCTTCACTCTGGAACTGTTCATGTTGATAATTTTATAAGTGACCATAAAGGAACATATGTTTTTGTTAAATCAGATGTTATTCAAAATCAATCATACGAAAGAAAGGTTTGGTTATATAAGCACGCAGATATGGATAAATTGAATTCTCTCATTGAAAATACTGATTGGAATACGCTTATAATTGAGGCACCTGATATAGATCAAGCAACAAAAAATTTTACATCAACATTTTTGAATAAAGTACAGGAATGTATTCCTGAAAAATCGGTTGTAATTCGTCCGAAAGATAAACCTTGGTTTGATTCGGCTCTGCGTAAAACACATAGAAACAAGAATAGATTATTCAGTAGGGCCCAAAGGACAAAAAGAAATTCTGACTGGGAAAAATTTAAGAAATGCAGGAATAAGTTTAACAATATGAAAAAAATCGCCATTGAAAATTATCATAATAACATAGAGCATCATATTACAGACGCAAGTAAAAATAATTCCAAACTTTACTGGAAGTTATTGAGAGATATATTTCAAGTAAAATCTACTACCGATATTCCTCCTCTACAGTATAACTCTGTTAATGGTGACGCATGTGTGGCTTTTACAAATGAAGAGAAAATAGATGTTTTAAATGATTATTTTGCTTCTATCTCTTGTATTGACGAAAACGACGCCATTTTACCTAATTTATATTCTGTATGCAATAACCCATTTGATACAGTCTGTATTGATGAACAAGAGATTATAGATATTATTTCAATTATTCCTGTTAACAAAGCAATAGGTCCAGATAATATTAGTCACAAGATGTTGAAATCTACCATGTATACTATTGTAAAACCATTATGTTTATTGTTTAATAGGTCATTAGTTGATTGTATTTTTCCTTGCAAATGGAAAGTTGCCAATGTTCTCCCTTTATTTAAAAAAGATGATCCATCTGTTATGTCTAATTATAGACCTGTGTCACTGTTAAGTTGTATTGGTAAAATAATGGAACAAATCATATTCAAACACTTGTATAATCACTTTCGTGACAACAATCTTTTTTATAAATACCAGGCTGGATTTTTACCAGGTCATTCCACTGTATATCAACTAATAGAAACATATGATACTATTGTTAAAGCCATCGATGATGGTGAAAATTGTTGTATGATATTCTGTGATCTTTCTAAAGCATTTGATCGTGTGTGGCACAAGGGTCTCTTGTTCAAACGTAGAACTTATGGTATAGAGGGAAATATGTTTCATTGGTTAAAGAGTTACATAGAAGGTAGATCACAAAGAGTTTTATACAGAAACTTGCTATCTGACGAAAAACCTATACACGCCGGTGTCCCTCAAGGCTCAGTGTTAGGACCTCTATTATTTCTTATATATGTTAATGATGTTGCTGAAGAAATGACAAGTTTTTGTAGATTATTTGCAGACGATAACTCCCTACAACAGTCATCTAAAAATGTTAATACTATTGAAAACAAACTGAATTCTGATCTTAACAAGCTAGAAATCTGGTCGAAAAAATGGCTTCTTAAATTCAATCCTACTAAAACTAAAGCAATATTTTTTAGCCTGAAAAAAAGTGTTATTTATCCTAAACTTTTCTTCCAGCAAAGTCAGCTAGAATTTGTTTCTTTTCATAAACATTTAGGAATTTTTTTCTCGCAAGATCTTAGTTGGTCTACACATATTGATACTATTCTAGCCAATGCATATAAAAAATTGGGCTTGTTAAAAAAACTTAAATTTGTTGTCAACCGAAAAACTCTTTCACTCATGTACACAACCTTTATTAGACCACAGTTAGAATACGCTTCCTTGGTGTGGGGTGGATGTAATATAGGTGACAGCGAAAAATTAGAAAAATTACAATTATGTGCTGCTAGAATTGTCACAGGATTAACTCTGTTAGCTTCTAAAGATGCACTTTACATTGAAACTGGATGGGAACCATTACATGAAAGAAGGAAAAAGACCAGACTAACTACAATGTATAAAATTGATAAAAACCAAGTTCCTGAATATCTCACAGATATAATCCCTAACTTACGATGTAATTCATCAAGTTACAGTACGAGAAACTCGCAGAACTATAACATACCCAAATGCAGATTGCAAGCTTACAAATCAACTTTCGTTCCCCTTGTTATTGAAGAATGGAACTCATTACCTCTTAATGTAAGAAATTCTCCCTCGTTATCTATTTTTAAAAAGTCCATTTCTTACAATAAACAAATGCCACCCTCTTACTTCAGTTATGGAAATCGACGCTTAAATATAATACACACGAGGCTCAGACATAACTGTGTGCTTAATAGCGATCTTTTTCGATGTAATGTAATCTTGAGTCCACTATGTTCTTGTGGAAGAGTGGAGGATACTCATCATTATTTCTTCTCATGCAAAAAATATACAGAAGCCAGGAAAGAATTTTTTGACAAATTTTGGCGAATGGGTAAATTACACACTGTCGATACTCACACTTTACTCTGGGGAGACAAAACGTTAAATGATTTTGAAAATGAATACCTATTTTCTATTGTACAAACTTTTATTAAAAAGTCAGGACGATTTGGTTGATACAATAATTATTTCTAATTGTAAATCTTATACAGTATGTCTATTACATATGAAATGTAGTATATTGAATGTGTTTTACTCTGATTATTATGTATTATTATTATATTACTATTATTATTTCATTTTAAGCTGAAACCCATGTATGTAAATATGTTTGGTATAATGTATATGTAGGGAGAGGGCGTAATAAGTTTTTAGAACTTTTGCCCAATCCCATTTGTAAAGTATAATCAATAAAATATGTTCAAATCAAATCAAATCAAGAAATGGGCGTGTCTAAAGATAGCTCAAAACGTTCCATCCAAGCAGAAAATTTTACCACTTCAATGCGCTTCATTGTACCATTTACCATGGATAGTAGACTACTGTATTATTTTCTCCAAACAATGGAATGTATATCATTTAATGATTTATCCAATTAAATATTTTATTACATGGCCGGTGAATAAAACATCTGTATATATAAAATGTAGTTTAATCTCAAAACATGTATATCTATTTAGATTTTAAAAGACATGAAAAACGTCACATCATAAACCCGGAAGATTTGGGTACTGATGTAGATACGGGACTGAAAGAAGAGGAGTTAAATAGATTGGTATCTAATGAAATTGACAATTTGATTGGCATTATCCAATCTTCAATGTAGATGTTGCTTAATGTATTACGTTTTAAATTAAATTCATTTTATAAAAAACAAATTTTCTACTGTTTTCTATTGTTTACATTATGTGTAATTTCTAAACTAGCTGTTTTTTGTTCTTACACAAGAAAAAAAAGATTTAATGACCAATGGAAGACATTTAAATAAAGAGAATTTATTCTAAAAAAAATAATAAAAATGATTTTTTTTAAACAATATAATATAATTAAACTTAAACAATGCGTGTATCTCACACTTTCATTGAAAATGCACTTTCAAACTATTTATTTGACCATTTCCTTGCCGGATAATTTAACTTCACAATTTCTACTGTTTACAATACGAGTATGTGTAAGCTCTAAACCAGCTGGTTTTTGTTTTTATACAAGAAAAAACATAGACCTACCTGATGTTTTATTGACGAATGAAAGGCATTGGAAGGAATTTAAATAAAAGGATATTATTTTAAAATATAATAAAAATGATTTGTTTAAAAACAATATAATATAATTAAACTTACACAATGCGTGTATCTTACACTTTCATGGAAAATGTACTGTCAAATTGTTTATATGACCATTGCCTTTCCGGATAATTTATCTTCACATCCATGTACATGTATGACTTACCTCTCTTTAATAGGTTGGGGGAAACGTAAATTCCGCTATAATAGTGGTATCTCACTATTATAGTGAAATTACGCTATATTTCCTGCCGTGGATACCCTCTATTTCATCCAATACTATGCAAGGTGTTTGAACCGCAAGTCAGGTTGGGTATTAAAATGAACAAAAACTGTCATGCTTGCATGTTTTGAATTTTAATAAATTTTCTACCGTTGCGTTTAAAAATGCGAGCACTCTTTTTTTAAGGGGGATGTACAAGCCATATTGGATCTAGTCTGGTGGAAAATAAGAAATACCAAGATTGCGCGTAATACTCTACCAAACTAGCCCAAAGTTACTCAAAGTGCTAACACACTAATTACCTACTGTTAGAGACCAAACTTAGTAGATAATTAAGTTTATTTTGTTTTAATTAGGAGGAAATTAATCATGTTAGAACTGCGCAGCTACAGCTTTCACGAGATGTAAAATGCATTGAAAATGGTGTTAGTTCGATTCATTGATAATATGGCTACAACCATTTGTTTTGCTTTTTTCTTGTCATTATCCATAATTCTTGAAAATTTGATTTTTCATATGGGTGTCTTCCTGAGGCCATGTGTTTAGTTCGTCCGCCATTCCTCTGTCACACAGAGTTCGAATAACATTGATTTTAGAATAAATGCGACCATAATAACATCAAGACAAGAAATTACTAAGTAATAATAATTAGGTTATATTACTTACTAGTTTTAATTGTTGCATCGCATCGTCTGATTAATGAAAAAACGCGATTTTAACCCCACTCCAGCAAATCGGGAAAAACTGTTCTGTTTATAGCTCGAGTTTCCTCGTTAATATTATTCCACTGAGCACGTGGTTGGCATGTGCATATATCTGCCGTGGATAGATACGTTTATTACCTGGATTATATTTAATCTTTCATGGAACAAGTTTTGATAATTTGTTGGTTTCTTTAAAACTCAAGAAAAAAGGTAAAAAATGTCCTAAACATATGTGTTTACGGCGGGTCTTTTTTCTGCGGCGATAGAAGTTATTTTCAAATGGGGCACTGCAAGGAGAATGCTTAGCATTTAATTTGAAAATGTTAAACAATATGCGGTGCAAGAAAAACAAATTGCAATTACATGTCTTACATTCGAAAAGTTGGTACATATGTCTATTTTGTTTAGCAGTTAGATAGAAAAAATAGGCAGTTATAGGATTTCCTTCAGGCACCTAACATAAATAGCTAGATTGTTTGCAATGACCCACACATTGTATGGAGTAATGTTTGGACATAAAAACGCATCATTTCTCATTATGTTGACAACATTGTAAACTCTCGCTCATCGAACATACAAAGCTTGATAAAATATATTGAGTTGTTTCTTTGAAATTTAGAAACGAGCACAATGTTTGCAAAGAAAAGTCCATTGCATATGCTATGACTATCTTCGCAAAAGTGAGAAGCTACCCCCCCCCCCCCCCGAAAATCCTATTTTTGCTTTTCAAAATAGTGCCAAAGATTTAAAAAAATTTGCATTACTAAGTCTGTGATGGACTATGTACTAGCCTTATAAGACCACTTGTTATAAAAATGTTTGGTTGCCCTTTCTCCCGATCTACTGCCTAGAAATGGCCCGACTCAATTTATTTTTTACATCCCATTACGCGATATTTTTATATTTTTCTTCCGTCAACAAATATGTTTAAATTTCAAGGAATTTTTTCTCACCTATAAATTCGGACCCAATAAGTTTTTCCTGAGTTGGGAGGACCGCCAAACGTCATTTTAGAGATGGTATTAAATGTTTAATTATGTTTTTTTTCCTTTACTTTGTAAAATTGTAATTTTGACAATATGGGCAAATAGAAAAAAAGTTTTTTTTTATACATTAAATCTCCTAACCCACTCTGAATGATTTCATTCCTTTTCAAATGTTGCTCCGCTGTAATGAAAATTGTAAATGGTTATTTGACACAGCATACGAGGGGTGATAAAAAAGTAAACGATTTCTTAGGTATTTGATAGTTATATTATTGTTGAAATATTCAAGTATTTTTCAAAGTGTAATTGGAGGTCTTTGATAGCATATTGGTTAATTAAAAACACATCCCTTTTCAAATTTGTATTCACCGGGCAACATAACAAGTATCATATTTAACCATCTGCCTTCCTTCAATAAAACGATCTATCCAATCATTGATTGAAATTATAGGAAGTCATTAGTCTTAATAAACTGTGAACAAATTCTTACGCTACTTCAAAGGCATTTCTAAGATATACCATAAACATTATAGTCGTTTGTTGAACGAGTTCTACTGAGACAACCATTTTTCGTCACAAGTACCTTCATAATGACGTCATTTTCACATTGTGACGTCACAAACAAGGAGCAAAACTTTATTCAGCATATGCTATTTATAGAACTTGTGTTTGGCTATGTTTCTAATCTGAATTGTGGTTTGTAGATATAGAGATATTTCGCGAACTTTTTGATCACCCCTCGTACACAAACAAGGTCATTCATATCGATTAGATGTGTCTAATTTCTTTGTGTTTCATTGGTGATAATTAAAATTTTGATAGATAAATTATCTGTGGCAAACTTACAAACTCTTAATTTTTAACTTTGATGGTGCTCATTTTTCCTTACCTGGAATCAAAGAGTTTAAGATTTTTTTTTATATCAATACGTACATTATTTAACAACTGTTCGATAATAATACTAAATAAATTACTTCAAACCACACTATAACACATTTCTTCTTTTAAAAGTGTTCATATTATTTGAAATATTTTGCATGAACTCTTAAAAAGGCATTAGTTTTCATCTTTGTACGACTTACTACATTCCTGTACGCCCTTGTCAGCCATATTTCTTCGATTCCGCCATATTTTATCGAAGATTTTTGGCCACCCGTACCTGCTATATATAGCCTTGTAGAATTGTTTCACTTGAGTGATTTTCTAGCCTGGCTGTCGACATGTACACATCTCCGATAGCATAGTTTTTAGAAGTCCATAAACTGAATAAACTGACCAAATACATGTTTGAAAAGCAAGAATTCAACAAAAAATAGAACTAAACCGAGAATTAAATTATTTTTGAATGCATTTGCTGCATATAGAAAATACACTAACACAGAATACATTCATGTACAGCAACAATCCATGCAGGTCGAGAAAACGCGTCAAACGCAGTGATAAAACATTTACCTGAATATACTGCTATCGTTACAGGGATGTGCACATGTCGAAAGAATTATCCTATTTTACTTTTATTGAAAAATGCATCTCAGAAGTCGTGTAATCCATTGCTAACTCAACAGTAAAAGATGCTTGGACACATGTGGCCCATGCCGATCATTTTATTTGGTCAGGGAAAATATCAAAGGTTGAAAACTCAGTGGGGTTGATTGAAAAAAAAAATGCAAGTAATTTTTTCAAAACTAAACATTACTCTTGTCTGTAAATGTTGCAAATAGAATTTATGATTACATGGTTTAACATCATTAAATTTATAATAAAGCATGCATTATTACGAATCATTCACCTTTTGAAGATATTTTCCTGTGATAGGAGGGGGGGGGTGTAATAAAACATGCATATTAACACTCTCATAAAAAATAATTTAAGAAAAACGTCTGAAACAGATTGATTTCTTTATGATTAATTATTATCAAATAAATACTGTGTATTGCCTTTATTAGACCTAATATAATTTGATTTAAAGTTATTTATAATTTTATGCACAATGAATGAAAACATACCCCACGCTCCCCCAAAAGTCGAAGAGCTGAAATTCCCAGAAAAAAATAAAGGAATCGTAATTTCCTTGTTATATGCACATCTATGCACATTGTGTCCTAAATATCTGCAAAGTTTGACGAAATTGTGTGCAGCGGTTTATGAGGAATTGCGCTGACAAACTGCTCATCTTTATAATCAAGACATGGCCAAAATCTAAATGTAAAAGTGCGGAAATTCCCCAAAAAATAAAGAATTCGAAATTTCCTGGTGATGTGCAAATCTAGACACACATTGACTCCTATAAATGTCTCGAAAGTTCGACAAAACTCTGTGCAGTGGTTTATAAGAAGTTGCGCTGACCAAAAAAAAAAAAAAAAAGGACTGACTGATGGGTCCAAAACATTATACCTCACGCAACTTGTTGCGAGGGGTATAATAAACGAGTTTGATTCTGTGGTACAATGATAATGAAAATAGAATTTAATGTGAATTAAATTTCTAGACATAAATAATTAATGATTACTAGAAAAAGCAGATACCCGTGAGAATTCCATATTTTACCTACAATTAGCTTTTTAAAAATTCTGTTGTCTAGGTCCAGGTTCGACTCGTACGTTTGAGCCATAGGTGTCGCAACCGGGGATGGCTTTTTTACAAATATATACTTAGCATAGACATTGAGCATTGCTGCGTAGG